ATTATATTATGATAAAATTATTAGTGATGATTTTAAATAAAAAATCTTAATTATAATATATATAAAATATTATTAAAAATAATATTAAATAAGAAAATAAAATAAAATTTTATAAAATATATTAAATAATGCTAATATAATTTATTCTTAATATTTTTTTAGTAGTTTATTTAAATATTTAAAATATTACTTATTTTTAAAATAATAGTTTAAATAAATATTTAACAATTATATATTAAACTTTTATTAGTAAGTTTATTATTAATCTTATATTTACAAATAAAGTTACTTGTTTAAATCTATTTTGATTTTATCAAATTTTACTTTTGATAATCTATTAAATTTTTAGGTTTCAAATAGTAAACTTAATTATAGTATAAATTTATTTAGTATTTTTATCATATAAATTATTTTTAAATTTTAAAATTTTTTTTTAATTAAATATAAAGTTTAATTATTAATTTTATAATTAATTTTATATAAATATTAATCAATTAATTATTAATATCATAAATTAATGTTGAAAAGATTCTTTTTTAATAGATTTAAAATTATTTTTAAGGCTTTAAGAATCTGTTTCCTATAAAATGTAAAAAGGAAACTTTAAAAATGTTTTTTAAGTTAATACCTTTTCTAATATATATAAACTTTTATAATATATTGAATTTTATATTAAGAATTTTATTTAAAATATTTTTAGCTTTAATATATTTAAAAAATATGTTTTCATAAAATTTTTAAGTTTAATTAGATACAGTAAATTATTATTCTAAAATGATAAAAACTATAATATATTAATAAATTTATACTTGATAATATTTTAAATTTATTAATTATATTTAACATTTAAAAAATTACATAATAATTTTATCTATAATTATAAAGAAAGGGCCAGAAATGACGTAATTTCCTAAGGGGATTCACCTAGGGTGACATTACTATATGATTTCCTTAATTAAAAGTAATAAAAATGATGACGGGAGTCAAGATCCTTAAAATCAAAATGACGTAATTTCTGGCCCACCCCTAAGTAAACCTTAATTCATTACATAAAATTATTATGATTAAGTTCGGATTATTCAAAAAGATAGATTTGAAAAATAAAAAGTAATAGAATTTTTTATAGAATGAAAAATAAATTTTCAAGAAAATTAATGTTTCAGTAAAAATTTCGAAAAGAAGAAAATTAATCTTTCTTAACCTGCTTAAAGTTCAGATTCGTATCCAATAGAAAATTTATAAAACGAGTTGAACAGAAAAAGTATTTCCACATAACCAATTTGAATGATTTATGACAAATACTTTTAAAAAAAAAAAAAATTCTTGTTGATTTAATGGGTGAATGTTTAATTGCTTCTTGTATAAGATCGATTGGATCCTTTAGAATAATTTTCATCTTTGAAATGCTGACGTCCAACTTAGAAATTCCGAATTATTATTAAAAATCTGTATCTTATAAAATGATTACCCAATCAATTTTAATTAAAAACACACCTCTTTTCTATATAAGGGTTGAATCAACAATTGGCATATATATAAAATAAAGAAAATTATAACAAGATATTTTGGAACAAATATAATAATTTTACAAATTTTCATTATGGCCGCAATATTACAATTTAGAACACGAGTTGTGTTCCTTTTAGGCATAATATTATTTTTAATAATGGCCTTTTTTTACACTCTTTCAAACAGATTACCAACATACGATATGGGCGATTATAGCCCACACGGTATTCCGAATAAAGTCAACTATAAACCTTCGTCACAAGAAACTAAAAAATTTCTGGATGTTGAAGTTTATGAAAACATAAAAATAGTTAATTTTGAACCCGAAGAAAAGTTTTTAGCATATTTTACTCATAGTGGATATCATAATCAAAGGATTGCACTTGAGAACGCATTATTATTGTCAAAATTATTAAATCGAACATTACTTATGCCTCCAGCTTTACTTGGACCACCAATTCCTTGGGTTAGATTTGATAAAATGTACGAAAGGTTATTTTTATCTACAAAGAATGGATTGGATCATTGTATAGAAATACCAAAAGAATATCCATTACCGGCCGAATGTCTTGATTATTACACATATACATCAGTTTCTTGGGACTTTTTATTGGATATGAAACCAATTAGACAATGGAATAAAATAATCGATCGAATTGATCATTCTTTTGAATGGCTTGAAAGTAACCTTGGTATTAGTAAAGATAAAGATATATATTTTATTAAGGATTCAGCATTATGGGATTATAGGATATATGATAAGGAGGATAGTGATTTAAAAAATACTAATAAATATAAAAGAAATTTTACAGTCGAGGAATTAAATAGAATTGATAATAAAGTAATTCATTTGGGATCATTATTTGGATCATATCGGGTGACACCTGAATTACCTACTAGCGAAAAAAATATGAAATTTATTAGACATCATCTCGTACCACATAATTCATTTATACAAAAAGCTGCCGAACGAGTAGTTGAACAATTGGGCGGAGAACATAATTTTATTGGACTTCATATACGTGTTTCGGATGGGTTTTTTATGAAAACTGCTCGTAAAAATATAGATTTAATGTATCATACCATTATTAACAAATATACAAATCTTACACCTGAAGAAGTTGATAAATTAGAGGGTGGTACTCATGATCAAGATATATTAGACGACGATAGTGTAGATTTAGGCGATGAAAATCCATATAATAAAATGACAAACATAACGAAGAGAGGCGGAAATCAAATGGTGGGATCAGGAGGATTTAACCGTAAAAGGGCCTATATGCCAGAACTTTCAAACAAGATAAATGGATTTTCAAACAAAGTTAATTGTAAAAGTTCACTTCATCCAACTGATCAAGGTGTTAATACCGTTATATTTATAGCCACTGATGCAGCGTCTCCTAGAAACAATCCTTTATTATTTAAATTTTTTAACACTTTTCCTTGTGTATTTGTTTTAGATGATTTTGGACAAGATTTAATTGATATAAAATACGTTAGAAATGCTCAAGATAAAACCCCTTTAGCAAAATATCTTATTCCTATGTTGGATTCTATGATCTCTGCTAAAGGTTTTCAATTTATTGGTACTCCTAAATCTACTTTTAGTAAATATATTGAGACAACTTTATTTCCTATTTACGCTGGAAAAGAATTAGAGATTAGAATTACGACAACTTAGAATCATGGGCTTAAAATCCTCAAAAAAAAAAAAAAAAAATTCATTAATACTAAAACATTTACATCTTTTATATAAATTAATTATATTTATTAAATACAATATTGATTTTAAAAATGTCTAGTTCTTAATATTATTATTATCGTTTAGAATCCTACTTTAATTTACCATCCGTACACATGAACGGTGAGGTTATGATTACTTATCTATAATGCAACTCTAAGATCATCAAACACATTCTTTAATGTTTTTCTAAAGGACACACTATCCGTCTGTTTACATGTTTTGTAACTGCAAATACTAAACTTCATTCCCTCTTTTCCAATTCCATAAGCGATTCCATATCCTTCAGGCACCACAGCTCCAAATCCAGCATAAAAATAATCACCCGGACTCATATTAGATGATGAAAGTTTGAAATACATTGATCGTGCATATGTTGGGTCGGTAAAAATGTGCGCACGTGATTTTTCCTCTTCATTTTGGATTTGACATCTTAATCCTAACAAATGTCGATCGACACCTTTACCTAATTGAGAAGTGAAATATAAACAAATAGAAATCTTATATGATAACTTTCATTAAATTTTTTCTTACCATTGGTAGCTGAAATCATATATTCCATATGAGACTTAATTGCATTTGTGAATAAAGCTAGCTTTCGTTCTTTCTAATAAAAACAACAACAATGACAAAATTATTGAATCAAAAAATATTGATCATTTGACAACAAACCATATTATGAAATATGATACCTTGATATCTTTATCATCAAAAGCCTTCGTAAAGGCTACACTGTCGACTGAACAAGACCTCACTGTTTCTGTGCGTCCATGTAAAAATCCTCTGGTAGAAGCTGACTCATAGGTCGGACATGGTTCTCCATTTTGTCGGTAGTAAGCAAGTTGCAAAGCCATTTGGACAAACGCATCCGGACTAACTTTAGCTTTAAATATAAATAAATAAAATAAAATAAATATCTATGTTAATGTATATCGAATCATCAAAAAAAAAAAAAAAAATCATAAATCAAAATTAAATTTATACCGCTTTTAAGCCAATTCGATCCGTATTCATTATAGTGCAATAAAACACTATCAACGTTATCAATTGCCGTATGAATATTAGATTGCGCCTGATTAATGGTGGTTCCCAATGAAGAACAATTGACCCATTTAAGATGTTTAGGGGTAGGAAGTGGAATTGAACAACTGTTATTTGGGTCCTGTGCTGGCTCCCTTTAAAAAGAATTTTAACTATGATTCAAGATTTAATTTTTATGATGAATGATAAAGTGAATTTAAAACAACTTACTTTGATACAATATAATCAAAGAGACGCCCAGGAATAACTGCATCGGCAGGGGAATGCTTATAATTTTTACATATATGATCAATCTTAATTCTTTTAAAACGTAACGATTGAAATACTGAAACTGTAATAATACCTCTCCGTTGACTCCAGCACGTCCATTACTCTGAACAATTACTTGAAGAGGTTTGTCGAACCAACGATTACGACCATTAAATGCATGGAAAATATTGTGATGAGTAATGTCAATATCACTATCGGTCGAATAGTCATCTAATGCAACACAAAACAATGCCGTATCGATCGCTCCTAAATTCAATCGATTTTCTGATAGAGATTCAAGTGTTTTGCGTGCCTAAATGTAAACATCTAAATGAAAACCAAACATATAAATAAATACATAAATGATCAGTTATTTAATATTTACCGCAGCCCAAGTGTCTCGATGCTCGGCGGTCAACAAACCAATAGGAAGTTGTAGCTCAATGGTATTATTGACTTGTTCAACTACCGATTTAAGTTGTCTATAAATAATAAATGAGATCAAAATATGACTTCACATACGTGCGTTCATAAAATTTAGTTAAATAATAACCTTTCAATATCCTTAATAGAGACCCTTGCTCCTCCTTCGCCTAAAACTTGAACATTAAAAATTTGATCCCTAAATAAGACGATTATATGTTTGGCAGTAGTCGGCCAGGAGGAAATAATCCGATCAGACGGAAAGTCAGCAATTCGAGCTGTACCAAATTGTTTTCTATATTGATTCATACATAAGGGACCTTGACGCGAAGATTCCGGAGGTAGCGATTCACTTTGTTACAAGCAAATCAAAATCTCAATGAATATTTCGTGAATTTAAAAACTAAACATTTAGAAAGTAGTAATTACATAAAGGTTATACATACTTGTTAATCGTATCATTGAAATCCAATAAATTGGAAATAAAACCTGCCGTTCTGTTGATCTGAAAATCTGTTACTTGTCCCTTTGGTATGGTTTGTTTGAGAATCCCATTAGGATGATCTTTGAATTCGCACCACCAATTAACGTTTATAAGCGTGGGTTCACGCCATTCAAGGTAAGCTCTATTCAACCAAATATTTTCAAGCCAACTATGCTAAATTATCAAATAAAAATCTCTTTCATTAAGCAATTATAGTAAATTTTATGGTATTTTCACGTCAAATTGCTTGTACCTTTTCGAATTTATCTAATTCATGCAACCTTGCCTGAAGAACTTCGCCCAAACCGCCAGTTTTTACAAATTCATCGATTACATTAGCAGCACGAGCATAGTCTTCAGGCTTAAAAATCGGTAGCAAACTTTTTTTGTAACGTTCAGCAGTTTCTTGTAATGTTGGAATAGGTAGACGTGGAATAATATGCTGGTTGGAAAAAGTTTTTGGCTTTTCCGACTCAAATTGCAAAGAAAAATTACGCGAAACAATTGGAGATAAAGATTTATATAGATTTTGATTTTTACCAGAATGTTTTTTAATAATAGTATTTGGTAAGGTTCGAACTAACGGCAACGTTGAAGCTGCAAAACCTCTAGTAATTGTCATTTTTATATTAGTGAACTCTAATGCTAAAGAAAATTACGTATATAAATTAGACGTAAACGTTTGTATACGTGTAGCGGTTACACGAACATGCGATCTTTGATAGCATTATTATATTAATTTATTATAGGTGAAATTAGTTCTAACAAGCATTCACCATTGCTTTCAATGCTTCAACCAAATCACCTTTATGCTCTCTCAAGTATTTATCAGCTTCATGCTTCATCACATCCATTTCTTTCATCTAAATAAAACCTTCATGAGTAATAGATAAAGGATGATGGTTATAATCAAAAAAGAATCTTACAATAAATTCAATATCTTCTCTTGATACTTTAATTTTCTCGGAATCCTTTTGTCTTTATTGATTTGTATAAAAAAACGTGATCAAAGTTAATTTTAAATACGATAAAAACAATAAAAGAAATAAATAAACATTACTTTTGGAGTTTTTGATCATTACGACGTTTTTTCTCTTCATTGACAATCTCTTCATTAACGATGTTTAAAGCCTGTTCAAAAAAAAATATTTATACAAATGAACCCAATTTTTTAAAAAAAACATTATATATATATATATAAAAAAAGGGATCAAATGAAAAAAGCAATAGTGAAATTGCTACCCTTACTTTATCCAATTTCGATTCATCAATTCCTTCACCTTCAGCTCTTTCAGCAACGTATCCTTCGACAGCTTGCATATCCTTTTTAGCCTGACCTTTAAATCCTTTTTGTTGAGGTTCTTCTACTGCTTGATCATCATCAACATTAGTTGTTTCCTTTTCTTTTTCTTTTTCTTTTTCTTTCGCTTGTTTATTATCCTTCGATGATAAATGAGACTGTTGTGAATTTGGGTAAGCTGCTTGTGTTGTTACTGTCGTTGTTGCTGTTGTCGTGGGTGATGATTTATTATTAGCATTATTTGCCGATGTGTCTGAAACATTATTGTTAGTATTTTTATTTTTCTTCTTTTGCTTCTTATTAGTCATCTTTAATTAAATTCAAGCCAAAAAGAACTTGGAGTGACCTTTTATATAAAGTTTGGTATTACAAACATCATGTGACTTTGCACTATTTGTAAAAATTTATTTGAAAAAATTATTATTATATATACAAAAAACTAATTTTTTTTTTTTATTTTAAATGGAGTGAATTTAAAAAAAAAATATATATATAAATATAATCTATAATATCCGCTATCTATTGTAATTATTATTATTATTAATTAATTAATTAATTATTGTTATTATTATTGTTGTTTGTCATATTTGCCTTGCGGATATTGTCCTAATTGGTATTGATCATAAGAATCTGAAGCGGCAGGATCATTCTGTTCATAATATTGCTGTGGCATTCCAATATCACCGGAAGTATTGGATGAAGTTTCTGTATAATTATCATCGAAATGACTTGTGCGAACTGCCAAAGTAGCCATTTGTTGTCTCTTACGTTCTTGTCGCTTAACTCTACGAAGTCTTGTTCGTTCCCAGTCTTCCCAACGTTTCAATGGTACTTTAGAAGGGTCAAACGAACCATCTTTTTTACCATGATCATCACCTTTGCCTTCACCTTCAACCTTTCTAGTTTCTCCCCATGAAAAATCATCAAAATGCCAATATGCATAAGTTGGTAATACAAAATTCCATACTGGCAATGCTAATAAATAAATCAACATCCAAGTAATATATACTAACTTTCTCGTTGTAACGAGAATTAATATACCAGGCAATCCAAGAACGGCCGCCAACATAAACAATGGTATAGATTCGGAGAAATTATTTGGTGGATTTATTATAGATGTTGTAATTAATAAAAAGGTCAACATGATAGCCACAGGTAAAACGACTGTACCCATCAACTCCATAAACACTACAAATTGCATGGAAAAACAGAAAGTTCCGCAAAGGTTACGGACTAACACTAATTCCATTAGATTATGAATTGTTGAATTAATCCATCGACGACGTTGGGATAGTAGAACTTTGAATTCATCAGGAACAACAGTTTTACACACGGCCTGTGGACAAAAAGTCATTTTTCTTTGAGGGAAGTTTCTAAGCATAAGTGTTGTCAAAAAACGATCTTCACCAAGCAACAACAAGTTCTTTTGATGAAGAGTGTTAACTGTATTTTGTGAATATTCTTGAACGATTTCCGGTTTTGTAATAATTGGCACCCAATCATCATCTCCTTTTCTTGCTTTAAGACGGTACATACAGAAGCAACCTGGTAGACAAGTTACACCACCAAATACTGACTCAAAACCTTTACCCAGATGATGAGAAATATAGTATTCAAAAACTTGAATAGCTGTAACCCAAGAATCACGCTTATTTGCAATCTTTGTTTCACCGCAAAGACCCATAATGAGAGGATCATTACACATACAATTGATTAACAATCTTAATGAATCAGGGTAAACTTTAGTATCGGCATCAACCTAATCAGAAACAAGAGAGTAAAAAAGAAGGTAAGTTTCGTAAATATTTTATAATGAATTTATACGGATCAATATCATACCATAAGAACGATTTCAAAAAAATCGGGAGTTACGCCCATTAAATGTTGAACTTTTCTAAATAAATCAAAATCCAGAGCGCACATACGATCGTTATATGTTAAACGACTAAAGAAATTCATTAGAATTAATTGAGAATCCCGTTTTCCACGATTTCCGGGTTTAGGTTTTCCTTGTTCCGCTGGAGCACCACATTTTACAACAAGAATCATTGGCACTTTTCGTTCCTTCCATGCTAAAGGAAAAAAAAAAATTATATGAATAAACGAGTGTAAATTATCGCTGCTCGTATGAATCAAAGGTGCGTTATCGTATTTTATAGAAATAAGCGACACGTAACGATTATTTACCAAAAACGTCAAAGTGTGCTCATTTTCGGTAAATACGTATTATTATTAAAAGCATATATATAAATCTATTAACTTACGGAAATAACCAGCAAAAACTTTTGCCATATTATGTTGCTTAGCTCCTGATGCAACAGCAATATAACTTTGAGCTTGTGGATCTTTAAATTCATCATCTATTACCATCATTTCTACACAAATATCCGGAGTACTTTTATCATTTCCGCTACCAGTAATTATACCATCGCATATAACAAATAAAAGTTTACGATCATCTGGATAATCCGTCGATGCCATTGATTCACATGTCGTACGCAAACCAGCTTCACCCTCAGAGTAACAAGTAACTAACAACACCGTGTAAAGATCATTTCCAATCCGATCCATTTTATTTGTTTTTTTAACCGAACCGGAATTATTTCTATGGATCCATGGCGCATTACGATTGCTGCCGACAACTACTTGTTGCGGTATTACAGCTTTTTTTACTTCCTTTGGTTCATGTGCAAGACGATGCGAAATGAACCAATCGAAAATACAAGCCATGAAAAATCTACACATAACGATCCCCAATATTACAATAAGCATAATTAAGTTGAATATATCGGAGGTGAAACATCCAATTGTTTGTTTATCGATATTTCCTACAAAATATTTTTCCCTCAGACAACCCATCATTTGTTTTAAATTATCTTGATTGAAAAATAAGCGAGTTGCATCTTTGCCACCCTCAGGATGATCAGTATTTAAAACATCACGAATAATCTTATCAGCTAAATCATTTTCAATAGGATTTGGGTGTGCCTCCATGTATGAATTCATATTGAGAACAGCACCAGCAACCACAAGAAAATTCTTCATCTTTCCAACTTGTTCCCAATCGAATCCAACTAATTTTGTTGTGTTTACAAGGTGATATTGATTAATGGCTGCTTCTGTAAGTCTTGGGAGAGGACAATTGGGTCCATTAGTACATAAAGGTGTAGTTACTACAGCATAATTTTGTATCTCCGGTAAAAGACATTGTGGGATCTCATTAAGGTTCCGCTTGAATTTATTCGTTATATCATAACCAGGTCCATTAATCTTTAATTCTTCAAAGAAATTAACTTCATTTGCGAATGCTTGGCTAATGTTAAACTGATAACCAAGAATTCCAAGCACACCTAAATAGATTTGCAAAATGAGATGGAATATGAAAAAATTTTATCCAACATTAGATTTTTACATATAGTTCTTACCGTCTACTTCACCAAAACGTAAAAAATTAGCAGCATTATTAGCTTGGGATTCGGGACATAGTACAGGTCTAAAACCAACAGTCAAGAATGCTACAATCCCGCCCATGATGGCAGCAATGAAACATAATGCAAACTTTTCCCTCCAGGCCTGCCGAGATTGTTTGTCAGGTAGACCAAATTTAGATAATAAGACGCTTGGAGCCCAAAAAGTGATTGCACGGGCAAACAGTATCCAAGGATCAAAAGTCTTTCTCTCTTTTTTACCAGTAAGTAAAGGAGCAGCAGGTTGGTATCTTTCGGGCCTACTTAGAGACTTCCCTCTTCGGATTAAACTCGCTCTATTTGTTGGAGGCGCGTAAGTCGCGTCTTCCATTTTGTTAATTAATTTCACCCAGTTATGATAAAATTTTTTTGTTTTAAAAAAATTTTTTTATATATTTTTTTTTTTTTTCCAATAAAGAAAAAAAAAAGGAGTAAAAAAAATTTTTGTGTTTCATGTTTATTTTAAGAATCATTTTATAAATTTTATAATGTAGGGGATTTTATGTGAGTGTATCCTTCAAAGAAATGTTGGGAATAGATTCGGAGATCGAAAATACCATTTATTCTAAGCCAATATTAAAATAAACCCGAAACCTAAACGTTTCTAAAAATATTCCGATTCAGGTGATTTAATTTACGTATAAAAAAAAGGGAGAACAAAAATAAATGGGGACACAATCTCCTTAAAAATGTGCATTTTAATTGTTCATTTTAAAAATGAAATCATTTTATAGTGGCGTGGAAATGGAAAGGATATATTGATGTGGCTTAGTGCGTCATTTGGTTAATCGGGGTATTTTTTGATGGATACTATAAAAAAGGTTCATCATAGCTAGGGATAATGGCACAATCAATAAATAGTTTGGTAACTTGGTTGGTAAGAAGGGAAGATAATGCTCTTTGCAAAATGTTGATGAAGTTGGACTCAATCAAGACAAGAGTTCTTGTTTATTGATTATTACTGATTGTACTTAAATGATGATGCAGCATGAAGATGTTTTTGGCGATACATAAATTGAACACACACAATTAGGAGTGCCGGAAAGTAACAATTCTAGACAAATTAATTTTTGTTTTATTTTCCGATGACTTTTTACTAAGGATTTGAAAAAAACCTCAATGATCTTTTTGGAGTTTTTTTTTCAAAAACAAAAGATCGAAACAAAATATTATATATTTGTTTCATGTTTATTTTAAGAATCAGCTTTTTTAAATTCAAAGTTTAAATTCTAAACCAATAAAAGAATAAACATGTTTCTGGTCATATACAGATATCCTGCAATAACTCGGGGCGTTGCAGTTCAGTTTTTGTGAAATCAATTTGTTTCATTTGAAAATGTGAATGTATAATATATAATATATATCAATATAACCACATCAATTTTGATCGTTCTGGATTATGCTGTGTAAAATACCAAATTATGCGTATATAATAAAATAAAATTATGCTAAATTATGTGTTTATAATTTTGGCCAAAATTATTATAATTTAAAAAGGATTTATTAATACTCCGAAAATGTAAAAACTTTATTTATAAACCAATCAATTATATCCTATTAATTTTTATTATTAAACGAAATAAAATTTAACATAATGATAGATTCTTTAGATAATTGATATCTTCCATCACTTAAAATATTTTAGTAAATGAAAAATATCTACATCTGAAACTGGTAGGCAAATATATATTAATGCTATATTAGCTAATATTGGTAAGATCTTTTTCTACTATCAAATATTTTTTTAAATCAAAATCCCATCTGAATTAATTATTTCATTAAAGATTACTATAAATTTTCCATCCTTAAATTAAATTTAAACTTGGAATTTTAAATTCAAGCATTATAAAAATTAGTTCTTTTACTTGAAAATAAATATATCTTGAATCAAACATTAAATAGCTTTAAAAGTGATAAAGTTGAATTATTCAAAATATGTTATTTAATGTTTTGTAATATACTTTTAAATGTATTAACAAAAATATCTGATAATTATAAATATATTATTTCAGATTTTAATAATAAATATTATTTTTTTATACAAATCTTAAAAATTTCAAATCAACTACCAATCTAAAAATAAATTATTTGTTAATTTTAATAAAATGTATAAATTTATTAAAATAATTAAATAATCATTCCTTTTAGCATTAAAATAAAAAAAAACAATAAATATTTCAAATTTTATTATATATATAATATTATTAAAGTAATTATATATATTTTGTATTAGTTTACTATCACAAATATTATTCTATTAAGAAAAATAAATGCTAGATATAAAAGATATTTTTTAATCTAAATAATAAAAATAATTATAGATTTTATATAAAAGAGAAAATAAAGTAGATTTAATAAAAATTTGAATTATTTTGAATTATAGAAAATAAAATAAGAGATACAGCAGTATTTAAAATAAGATAATTAAGTTATTGATTTTTTTATGTTGAAAAAATAAGTAAAAAAATTTTAATATTTAATATTATATCATTTATAACATAAAAATTTTGATTTATAATTCAATTAAATTATAAATATAAATTAAATAGTAATTATATTTTATTTAAAATATATAAAAATAGAAAGATTTTTAAAGAATTTTAATTAGTGTTCAGACCCAATTTGTTAATGGATAAACTGGGTTTATCTATTAAGAAAAAACTAATCTGAATTGATAACTATTAATAAAATTTTAATTTGGTTTATTTATAGATTTAATCTGTTAAATTAACAGATAGATAAAAAATGGATACCAGTTTATTAATAGTTGAATAATGGTTTAATGTTTAATTACCAGATTGTTTATATCCAGATATATCAGATCTATTAAATTAAACTAGTTAGTTAAATAAAGATTACAAATGAATTTTAATGTTAAAAATTTTTTTATTTGTATTATAATAATTAATTTATTTATTTAAATAAATTATGAAATTATGATTTGATGTTGTAGAAGTATCAAAATTTTTATTGATGTTAGTATTTTCCAAATAAAAATAAATTCAAATTATAAGAATTAAACTAAGCCTATTATTTATTGCAACCAGATTTGGCAATGCATCTGATACTGACTAAACAAATTAGTTTATTAAATTAAATAAGCCTATTTGCAAAAAAAATTTTCTTATTTACTTATTTTTTGCATTTATAACATTTATTGAATCCGCAGAAATTATTAATTATAATAGATATTTAACAAAAAATAAAACTTTTATTAAAGTCAATATATTGGTACAGTATGTTTAATTAGTTATATTAAGATAAATTATATAAAAATTAGACGCATTTCTTTTTAAAAACATAATCTTCTTGAATAATTCTAGCTTTATACATATTCTTTTATTAGTTAATAAATTATTGGCATCAGAAAAAAGTCATTCACTTGCAGTTGATGTTGCAGAAACTGCCAAATACTTTTGAGCAAAATGCCTTAAATAGGAATTTTTTTATCATTCCACTATGCAAGAGGATTTGAATCTAATGGAATCTCCAATAGTTAAAAATATTTACTAACTTCATTAAGAGTAACTATATTATTTTTAGCAAGTTGTGCTATTAAAGTTTTTTTTTGCTAAAGATTTTGGTTGAGATATTTTTAAAGAATTAGGTGTTCCAGTTTTTTTTGATAATCTTCTTTTTCTTGTTTAAACAATTCATATAAATGCTGTTTAATATTAACTTATTGATCTATTAAAGCAAAGTCAAATTTTTTTAACTAAGGATCTAATATTAAAGGAATTAGATTTTTGATGATAAGTGTAGGATAATATTTCTTTATATTTGTAAATAATTTTAATTTAACTTTATTAAGTAAACCAAAAGTATTAACTGGTTTATTAATTATAATATTTCTATTTATTAATCCTCTTCTTTGTCATCATTTTCAAATATATCATCTTGTTCATTACTATCAGAATCTTTATCATATGATAATAAATTTGTTATAAGTGTTTTAGTAATTTCCATCAACATTGGTATATACAAACTATTAGTTATAATTGCTTCCTCCTAATACTTCTGTTGCTTTTACAAATACTAATAATACTTCTATTAAATCTATAATAAGATCCTATTCATCATCATTAATCATTATTTCTTTCAACCTTTTAGCATCTTTTTTTGAATTTTGGTCTGTATAATTTAAAATTGTATTTAATAAAATTTTAATCCATCCTTTTAGATATAATAAATATTTTCATATAAGAAAACTCAAATTCTAGTGTGTAGATATATTATTAATTAATCAAAGATATTTAGCTATATCTTTAGCATTCTATAATTAATATATAAATTAAAAAATTATAATAAAAGTAAATATAATTTAAAAAATAATTAAAATAATTTTCAAATTTATTAAAAAAAAATATTATTATATAAATACATAATTAAATTTTAAATACAACTTTAATTATAAACTAAATTTTTTTAAAAAAAAAAAATAAATAAATCTTATAATATTTGTTTCTTCCATTTCAATTTTCAAACTATCTAATATATTTATATTTGAATATTTTTTTTGAATATCTTTTAAGCATTCTGATTGTTTAAGACATGTAAAAAATTTAATTAATCTTTTTACTCATATAATTAAAATTTTTACAGAAACTAAATCTTTTCTGATTATAAGTTGAAGAGTATATGCATTACATCCTTGCCATTTAATTGCATTTATATTTAAAATTGCTTTTTTAAAATTTGTTTATTATCAGTAGTAATCATATAAACTTTTTCATGTAAATTCCATTTTACAAGAATATCTTCTAAACTTTTAATAATATGTTGAGTATCATGAGGGTAGTAATGTACATTTTTGATATCCTAGAGATTTGTTGTCCTAGCTATATATTCTAACTTGTCTCACATTATGTTTCAAATGTTCTATCTGTTCCATCTATGTCCTATCAGTATCCCATCAATGTCCTATAATAACACTACATGAGGGTATCAGACATAATTAATAGATAAAGTAATTTCATTAAAATTAAATTTTGAATCAATATAAGAACAAGTTATATCAATATATTCTTATCCATTTCTTGTAGTCCATATATTAGTAGTTAATGATACACTTCTTACTTCTGTATTAGTTTATTTAATTAAAATTGGTAATGTAAAATTATAAGCATAATGAACAACTTTTATGATTCCTTTTTCATCAGGCATTATAAAGGTTAGATATAATTCACTAATAAATTGACAAAATAATTGATTTTGAACTACATATATTAGTTGAAGGTCATCAATTATCCAATCAACTAAAAATTATTGAAATTTATTTTGATGATTTTTTTTATGTTTCTGAATCTGAAAAATAGCAGGAAGAGTTTGTTA